CCTGTCCTTCCTAAGACTTCCACACTGTGTCAGGGCTGTCCTGTGCTCCCTGGTCTTCTTCTGCATCCACTACTTTTGTTCCAAAGAAGCTTTCCCTCACCTGGATTTAGGCCTGCCCTCAAGCCAAGGGATATGGGCCTCAAACTGGGTTCTTGTCATTAGAGTGTCATCAGGAAAATCTAGAACGCCAAGGGACAATTGATGCATGTTGTCCATCAGGGACACTTGCTAAAATCGTGGTCGTATCCTCAAAGGTAGTAGGAGCATCATTGGGACGTTAGGAAGGTCTGATAACTCTAGGTGCATGGGCAAGAGCAAGGGTAGAGGTCGATTCATTCAAAGTTGAGAGCTTCGCGCTATAAATGCAATTCCTACGGATGAATTTCTTGTCCATGGTGGGATGGACGGAGAGCAACACAGTGTGTCAACAACAACTCACTTTTCCTTGTAGAGAGCAATGCTAAGTGCTCAAAAGCCTAGCTTGACATTAGGAGCATCTCCCAGTCTAGGTTCCAAAACACTTTCCAATGATTAAATACAAAAAAAAACAGCATATATATTTCATAATGCAAGTGAAAGCAAGAGATAAAACACATGAATACAAAAAGAGATTCTATTGCACAGAAAAAGTTACAAAGAGTTTAGGCACATTACATCCAACCCCAATGAAATGGAGTTTAGCTACTCCTATACATTCTAGAACACAAGGATGGATTGGACATTGAAAAGGATGAAGGAAGATGAAGCCTTGAGCTCCAGAAGTGCCTTAACTCTCGTTCTTTGCCTTTGCCTCGTTCTTAAATTCATAAGTTCCACTTTTTGCCAACTTTTGACACTTTAAACACAAAACCAAAAATTGTTTATTCACTAAGCTAAAACCACCACTTGTTGGGTGAGTGGTACTTTTTCTGACAGTTAGGTAGCTTAGCTCGCTGGGCTGCAAGCTCTTCTGGTACGACTAGCATTGGTTTCTTGCTAGGCGAGCCCAGATGACTTGTTGGGCGAGCCACTTCTGGGAGAAATTCTTAAACAAGCATTAAACTTTCATTTTCCTGTAAAATACCCCAAAATATATAACTATCTATTTTTATAACCCTTATGTACATGTTTTTCATTTCTTCATTGAATTTAAACACAAAACACATGAATCAAGACAAAGAAAGGGTTCTAACAAGTGTGAAAAGTAAGTAATTATCACACTTATCATTGTCCATCAATAAAACAATGCTAAATAGATTCAATAACTTAATTACATTAGGGTGTATCCAAAATAGTTCGTTTACAACATTTGCAAACTCTATGTGTAACACACCAAATTTCAACGTGTCACAAATTATTTAAAAATGAGAAATTTCAACTTTCTATTATAGTGTGGAAATGTATTTTTTCAAAACATTAACATTTAAGCATGCATAATTTATTCAAAGCATGTGCTTTCCAAAAGACTTGTCCAATTATATTATTCAAAATAATGAAAATAATTAAGAAAATAAAATAACTCCAATTACATTATCTTAAATTTAAACAAAAATAACTTTAAATAAAAATCTCAGGTTTGTTCATCATCATCTCTCGAATCTATCATGCCTCAACAACATTTGCAACATCATTTGCTCATGTATAACACATTATACGATCATCGCCAATAATTTCGTTCACAAACACTCAAACACAAACATGTATGGGATAAGCTACTGATAAAATAATCATAATAACAAGATATAAGCATACAAATTATATCAACCTTAAACAACCTCCCCATACACAATAGTAAAAACAATAGGCTTTCTAATCCTCTAACATAACAATTCAATCATAATAAATTACTCAATTCTCGATTCACGATCATCCATCATTGATCATTGATCATCGATCATCAACTCTAAGCCAAGACCACCGGTCTATCCATTCATCAACACCTATGCTAACTACACCACATGATATCATCACTATCAACTAGTATTTCCTAGAGTATCATCGTCATTACGATCATTAACACATGCACCACCATCATAATTAACCCCATCATGAATATCACTTTGAGCATCCACAATACCATATATCATAGTGGAAAGAATCAATCCAACTTCTGTATCCTACCTCACCCGTATGTAGCTGCTTCGACAAACCATCTATAGCCTCCCTTACAGATATGCTCGAATAGTCCTACAATCCTGCTAAGGAACATGTATTCCTACCATACAAGGACAAGAAAAACACCATCACCCCACACAAAGAAGTGCAATACCCAAACAGCCATTCCTTTGCAAACAAGGCAAAAGGAAGCACTTATCCATAGATAAACTCAGGATTTACTAGGTACAACAAGTAGACTTATCCCTCACTCCTATGCTCATCAATCACACACTCAGGAACATCCTAACACTCACTCATACTCCAATCTTAAACACAAGTCAAGACTGACCCTGAACATAACCACAAATCTCATGTTTTGATTATCACCACGTTCTACAGTTCCTCAAGCTTGGTCCACACCTATTCATCAAATTTGTCATTTTTAACAAAAATGCACAGGAATAATCAATTATTTTTGAGAGGTTCACATTTACACAAAATACATTGTGATAATCGATTATCACTTATGATAATCGATTATTCCAATGATCATAATACATCAAATTTAAAAGATTCATCACCCATGAAAGGATAATCGATTATCATGATAATCAATTATTCCCGAGATGAAACTCAAAACCAATGTGCACATAATAGATTATAACTAGTGATGATTGATTATTTCCGAATCAAACCCTAGATCATGAGAGAACATACCCAACACATCATGCATGCATTGAAGCCTCATATACCCTTATGAACATACCCTAATACATACATTATATCACTTGAATCATCCAAAACTCATCATTATGCATATTACAACCCAAACAAACCCAACATATTGTATATGATCATGATACCACTCTTTATAACATATATTTGTATGGTAAAACCTCAAAACAACATACATTTGTTCTCCCTTAGCACCAATACATATTATCATGCGATAACCCAACAAAACATACACACTTTTATAGGGAAAACTCAACACAAACATGATATAAACCCTATTATCATAAATACACAAACCCTTACCCAATAACAATAGATAATCATAACCACAATCATGCACACATGCATCAAAACAAGAATTACCATTCAAAATAATCAAGAATATATAACATACAACAAACAAGCAAAGAAAGTTAAGTTTCCTCTTTCCTTGGCCAATCCTAAGACTTTATCCACAACTCAAAAAAAATATCAATCTTTCCTTGCACTAAGGTTGTTTGCAGCTCTTCCTCTTCTCTCCAAGAAACGCCTCTCTCTCCTTATCTCTATCTCTTTTTCGTTTTAGAATTAAGGTACAAATGTGCATCATCTTTTTCCTTTTCTTCTTTTTATCTCTTTTCCCCTTGTCTTTATCTTTTTATTTTAATAAAATCTCTCAATTTTTAAAAACACACCAAGATTTTCTCTCCTATTTTATGTCAACTACCTTTTAAAATATAAAAAAACTACTAAATCCTCCTAAGATTCACTTAATCTCCCATTTACATTTCAGATTTTCTAAACCCCCTAAAATAATTTATGCACCAATAAATAAAGGTAAAAAGACCTTTAGCCCCTAGTCCAAAAATATAATCAAAATATAAGTTTTTCTTAAACTCTTCTCCCTAAAAATTGAACCTACACCCATTTCATCCTAACCAACATCTCTACTTAACAAACCAACACCCCTCATGTAGTTTGATTCATGTAGTCCATGAAAATTGCTGGACAATTGGTCACACCAAATGCCATCACCACATACTCATAATGTCCATAGTGTGACCCGAAAGTTGTCTTTTGCACATCCTCCAGTTTGCCTAAGATTTGATGATAGCCAAACCTCAAATCAATCTATGAAAATACACTGACACCCCTCAACTACTAAAGCAAATAGTCAATCCTTGGCAAATGATACTTATTCTTGATAGTAAACTTGTTCAACTACTTGTAGTCAACGCATAGCCTTGAACTTCCATCTTTCTTCTTACAAGCAACATTGGAGCTCCTCACGGAGATACATTAGGTTGAATAAACTTCTTTTCCAACAAATCTTTTATCTATTTCTTTAGTTCTGTCAACTCAGTTGGAGTCATCTTGTAAGGTACCATAAACACTAGTCTTGCTCCTGACACCAAGTCTATTGCAAAGTCAACTTTTCGACTGGGTGGCAAACTTGAAACTTCATTTGGAAACACGTTAGCAAACTCCTCCACTACAAGTATACCCACAATCTAGTATTATATTATGAATTGGACAATCCAATAATCGAGACACAATACTGAATTGAATAATCCGAAATGTAGTGTCGAGTTCAGGAGTTTATTTTGAATTATTCAATCCAAAACTTATTTATACATACCAAATTACCCAATTCAAAATGGTCTCCCAATATATGGTAATATATGGTACTCTATTCCGAATTGCCCAATTTAGTATTATTTCAACTTCATACTTCTCGATAAAGACTTCATACATACCAGATCATCTAATCTGAAATATGATGGAAAAAACCCAAACACAAGAATCCACTGCCCCACTCTCCTATCAACCAATCATGAAAGTCATAAAACAAACTTGTACCTCTTCTTAATTGTTGGGATGAACAAAGTGTTAGATCAAAATGAAGACAATAAGAGATGAAGTGAAGAAAATAAAATGCACTAAAGAAGTGAGGGATGAAGGAAGTGCTTGAAGTAAGGAGAAGAAGACAATTAATTTTTTTTATTTTATAATTTTTTCATTATTTTAATAATTTTTCTTAATTTTAATAATTTTCTTAATTTTAATAATTTTTCATGAGGATAGAATTTTAAAAGTTAGGGGTGCATGAAGAAATGGGCTGAAGTTAAGTAAACCGGATTTTAATTTCAACAAGGACCAGTAGGTCGGGTTCGGTTTGGTAGGTAGAGAAAGATTTAATAGCATCTTTTATTGCTTCAACTTATTGACCACCTCGTTCAGTGTTCTGGTCCCTTGGCAGAAGCAGAATCACATTTACCAATTCACTTAATTACTCAGACACTTTCATCTTCTTCTGCTGCATGGGTTGGCTTAGTCGGTTCATCACCGCCGTGGCTTTCTTAGCCGTCGGAGTCATATTCTCACCGGAGACTTTGGGTTCGAAATCACCCAATCTTTCCACCTACCTCAAACTCGCTCACCTCCTCAGTTTCTCCACCGCATTCGGCGCCGCTCTATGGGTCACCTTCATCGGTGGCATCATCATGTTTAAGTACGCATTTTTATCACCCGTTTTCTTTTTCTCAATCATTCTTAGAAATTTGAGTTTGGGTCCAATTTCACCTTAGGAGGCTTGGGGCTTTCCTTATATACTTCACTTTGAGCGTGACTAGATGACTTGGGATCTCTGGCAATTTATGAATTCTTTGTGTGGCTGTGAAAATTGGTTATGATTTTGTTGAATTTTGTGATTCAGGAATCTGCCGAGGCATCAGTTTGGGAACCTGCAGAGCAAGATGTTTCCGGCGTATTTCTCGATGGTGGGGGCTTGTTGCGCCGTATCGGTTGCCTCCTTTGGTTACCTTCACCCGTGGAAAACTTCCTCCACTACTGAGAGATACCAGCTTGGGTTTTTGCTCTCTTCCTTTGCGTTCAACCTTACCAACTTGTTTGTCTTCACACCTATGACCATCGAGGTAAAGAAAAACTTTATTAGGATGGATTCATCGTTCTCACAAGTAAAACAAACCAGGTCTTTAAATGCTGCTCCCTATTTGTTACAATGACCAGAATAATTTGATTGGAAGTGGAAACTTAAAATGGCAGATTGATTGGTATAAACTATCACTCTGACTATGTTTTTACAGTAAAGACCGAACTCTTGGTATGTGTGTATTATTTTTTATATGCATGCATAGCAAAATCAGTTTGCCAAAGTCAAGATGTGTGTTTTTAAATTTCATGCACCTTCAATAATTTAGCTCTCGCTAAATATGTAAAGCCTTGAGTGTCAGTGGTTAAAGAAGCTTGATTCCATTTTAAGATCTTATAAGTTTTAAATGTGTCTATAAATTTGCAAAAGGAAACTAGGCATTTGTCGGAATGTTAATTGTACTAATGTTTCAGGGGATATGAGGTTGACGTGGTGGTAAGAGTAGAAGGAGGAAGGGATGGATTGTGAGTTTGAATTTTCACTGACAAAAGCTATTGTATTAACAACTAAAATTTGTTGATTAAAAAAAAAGGTGTGCTGAAATTTCAGTTGGCTTAAATGAAGGCCAACTAAATCAGTCAAATGTATGACTTATGTTCATCTTAAATTTGATAAGTTGGCTGCCGGTTTCTTACCATTCCCATTTTTTATTTAAAAGATCTATAACTGAGCTTAATTTATTGTCATTATGTTGATTCTGACTTCATTTATTATTATCATCAATATCAGTGCTGATTACAAGTTTTTTCTGTCTTTCCACAAGGATTTTGGATATTCATATTTTGCTTTAATATTGCTTTTATTTATTGAGCAGTGTTCCGTGATTAAAAATCACATTTTTTTTATACAATCATGATTAAATTTTATAATTTGTAGAGGTTTGTAATCTCTTATTTCTTCTACTGCTCGCACAGTAACTGTTATATTCCAGTTTTCCTCCTTGATTTTTTTAAAGGTTAATTCTTTTTCACCTGTCGCATTAATGGCAGTATGTTCTAACTAATATCTAAGTCATGTCAACATTTTATGCTGTTAAGCTGCCAACATTCATTATACTATACTATTTGTTAGTTTATGAATCAGAGCGTTTTGTTTTTCTGATGCAGATGATGAAGCAAAGGCATAAAGTGGAGAGAGAAAACAGTATAGGGGAGGAAGTTGGGTGGTCGAAAAATGTGGAAGTTGCTAAGTCAAACCCAAAACTTAAAGCCATGAATAAGAAATTTGGTATGATTCATGGATTATCCTCTCTTGCCAATATAATGTCTTTTGGGAGTCTAGCAATACACTCTTGGTACTTGGCAGGAAAAATTGATCTTTGATTCAGTTTGTGCCCCCAATTCTATTCTATTAAAGACAAATGAACTCCTGCTGAAGAACAATATAAGTGAGGATCCTAGTGTTCCCTTTATCTTCCACTTGTTTTACTGTCAAGCAAAATAAGTCTAGCATGTCTGTATAATGGAAACATGATGCCTCCTCACATGAATAAAATTAGCAGTATCTGCTCCTTGTTCACTTTTTGTTGGCAACTTGAGAGGGTTTACAGCTACACTCTCTAGTTCAAAATAGGGGTGTGGAATGGATGAATTGGATAAAATTTTGAATTTGAATGTATGGGTTCAAAATTAAACAAATAATCCATTTATATACGTTAAAAATGGACGTTCCCCGAAAGAAAAGGATCACGTTGGTATGTCATTTTAATTATAGGGAAGGTGTTGTGCTTGTCTTGTACCACTGCACATGCTTCTGAAAAAACTATGAGATGCTAGGTTGTCCACCCTTGACCAAACTATACAAGCCTCTTCGATGGCTATTGTTTCAGATCAACTGCAGAGCTTGGTTGTGAAAATCCAGTTTTCTGAGCCACCCTCAATAAAGTACAACAACTATGTTTTTTGGACTGTTAACATTACTGTCACAAAAACTAGTGTCCAAAACCAGACTGCTAACGGTTTGAAAACATGCATCTATTTAAGGTGCACATATACTTTTGGATGATATAATTCGTGAGCCTCTATATTCTGCGCAAATCAGTTTTGAAACATGCTTAATCGGGATGACGAACGCTTACAACCAAATTCTTTTTCTTCTTCATGATGCAGCGATGCATAGATTCTTTTACGCGACATGATTTCGTGTATGTTTAACAAACGAGGCCACAGCAGCATCGTCCCTTTGCATACCCATCTCCTTTAGACACATTTCAAACGTGTTAAATCACGTCTACCTAAAAAAAGTAGATATTTAGCTACCATCTTTTGGAAAGAGGTTGGACCAAGCACTAAACAAATTATACATTCACGTAAAAAATAATTATCATATAGTTGAACTAACACTGCTTATGACAGTTAATTAAGGAATATGGTTAATCCTTCAGAATGATACCTATCGAAGTTTCCAAAACGGTAAAGGAAAAAAAAATGAACATCAAACAAGAACCGATCCAGTTTACCTCTATTTATCTCGAGCATAATAATGTAAATCTCTAAATTTTTATCATAATTAGATTTCAATTTTAAGAGAAATATTTATATATGTAAATATAAATAGTTTATAATGTTTTATAATAAAACCCGATAGGATAATTTTTTGAACTATCTAACATCAAACTGTATTTATGATGATATAATTGATCAAGCTCAGTAATTTTTGTTCGACAACGACGACTAAAAAATCGTTAAAAATAAATCTTAAATTCTTTTAATAGCATATTTTTCAATTCGTTTTTCCTCGCCTTGTAATCCTTCCTCTAGTTCTCAATTTCATCCTGAATGCAGCAAATAAGACACCAGAATCTCGTACAGCGTACATGGCCACAAGTGTAGCATCACATGTAGCATCACCCACGAAAAAGTACCCGCATAATACTTAAAAATAAGGAAAAATCACGAAAAGAAAATCATAGACGACTTATCACAGCTTCCACCTCAGAGGGGGTATAAAGATGATATGTTGGAGCTACCCTGGCAATGTCAACGTTGTTGGGAGTGACCTAATATGAAAATACAAAAGAAAGAATTATAAATTTTTTTTCCATCCCATTCAGGGGTGGGGCGTCCAATCAATTCCCATAAAAATGTAACAGGCAACGTACCTTTTCTTCCATAACTTGCTTCAAAATGGATAAAGCAATGGTTTCGGCTTCTTGAAGGGTTAGGTCCTGCACAAAATAAAAGATTAACACCAAATTACATTGTTTTAAACCCATCTATCGTATGTTCAGCGTAATTTTGGAATAATAATCACCTATTTAGAACATTCTGAGCTAAAAGACAAAAACAATTGAGAGATAATCTTTCAGAGCAACATTGGGAGTTCATAGACAAAAAAAAAATTGAGGAACGACTTGATGACGGCATTGCACTAATTTGACAGTCAAAATATCAGAAATTGGCTAGTTGAACATTTTCCAAGATAATACACATATGGTGAACAAGACATTATGCTTCGTAGCAATGTAAACAGGAAAGGAAAAAGAAAGGAAACAATGTAAACTGAATAGTTAGTTAACTTAAGTATACTCAATTACATGGTAAGAAAGGAATAAAAATAGGATTAAATAAAAAAAAAAAAAACAATTCTGCATATTACTAGCTTGAGTTTGTTTTATTTTCTCAGTAAGTAAACTACAAATTAGGTAAATTTGGAAGAAGGTAAAGTTGAAAGTTTTTGTTTCCAGATAAATGACAGATATTTATGGAATAGTATTACTTTTTATACATTATTTAAAATGGAAGGTAATTATTGTTTACCATGTTCTCATTCTACTCCACCTGTCCTGTCAAAGAGTGATGAGAATGAGGTCTCCTCATTTCTGTTTTTTTTCACTCTTTGTTCATTTACCCTAGTGAACTATAAGTTTACTATTATAAACATAAGGTTCAGAAACAATGAAGATTAAATTGTCGGTACCTTGTTGAATTGTTCCTGTAGAGAACTGTCTGCGCCTTCTGACCCAGAACCAATAGCTTTTCCATTGCATTGCCAAAAGGTGCCAGATGGATCGGTGTAATATCTAATAATTGGAACATATCAATTCAATAAACATAAGTCCAGATTGAAAGAGTACTGGAAAAAACCCAGCAGCAATATAAAACTACATATTGCCTATGACAACAAAAAACAGAATATCATGATCTGCCTTAGTGTGTCTATGATATTCAAGAACACGAAATTGTTTACACTTTACAATGGAACAGTAAACCGTTCCAGGAAAGTGACCCATACGCAACCACACGAATGTTTCTAACAGAAAAACTTGCTAGTTGTAACAATGAACGGCTTTCCATTCACAAGCTAAAATACCATATTGAGAGTTGAACTAGCAGGGTAAAAGGCTGAAACACAACAAAATCATGCTACAAATCAATGGTAAGAGAAGGTAAAGGTACGCGTTGAATCTAAAATAATATTCTCTTTAAACCATAAAATGGGTGATAAGCCAATACAGTACAACATGACTATGAAATAAGTTCAAAGAATGACAGGGTTTCTACTTCCTTTGAGAAAGGAAGACGAAATATAAAGTGCCGTCTTTAAGGGTCTTTTTTTTAATCGCCTTTGAAATATTTTAACATGTTTGAGTAAACCAAAAGCTTTTCCAGAAAATGTAGAATCTAAAAAAGGCCAGGTTTTATGTTACTTGGAGAAATTGTAATAAATAGCTTATAAAACAAACTCTAGAGAAACTTACATTTATCACAATCTTATATCAGTTTTTTAAGCTCAAACAAACAGGCGAACAGTAAAAAGAAAGGCTTTAAATGAGAAAAGTAGAGGAGGACTTGTCCTCATGTGGGGAAAGGGAGGGAAATAAATTCTTGAAGCAAACTATAAAATATATCGTGCAATAAGACAAAGATAACTTGTATTTTGCTCCGATGTCCGACTATCAATCGTGGAACTTACACCTTGATTTGAATGACTAAACAAATCTTTCAACTTATGGTTTTCATTAAGCTAAATACGCCAGCAATCCGTAACAATGAAAGTCCTTCCCGAAATTGGAAATTTAGGTTGTAAGATACTCATAAAATAACGAAATCCCTCTCTCTCAACGAACTTAAAAGGCAACTCATCCACAATTATCGTACTAGCCAGTGTTTGTCTGCAAGCATCAACATCAAAACGAACACTGGTTAGAACAATACTACTTTCTTTCCCACCTTTTTTTCATTTTATTTTTGGTATTTATGCAACAAATGGCATAATCCTTACTACCCCAATTACACTTAGCTCTAAAGGTCCCATCAATTCTTGAAAAATGATCCCAACACCAAGATGTAGGCCTACAAGGTCTTTTGATGCCTGAATCTCCGGCATCATTATTAGATGTTGGTTCTTCTACAGTTTTTCTTTTACTTTTATCTCTCTCAACATGCATCCTTCTTTATTCAAACCTTCATGTTCCTCCACATTCATTGGTTCATTTGAAGCTTTGTAAGATTGAGTATTTATATTGAAATTTAGATTGAAATGTATAACTTACAATAATAATAATAATAATAATACTATTCTAAAGGTATATTTTAATTCGGTTTGGGCCATTTCTGAACATCTAAACTGCAAACCGAACCCTATAGTTTTTTTTAAAAAAATTTAAAACAATCCAACAGTTTTCATTTTTTTCATTTATCAAATTTGGGTCAGCTTTTTTTTATCAGTTTGTTTCTGAACACTCCTAATATGTAGACACAAACCTCAACTTACAAGTTAGTTTTTTGAAGTTAACTTAGACATACATCCACTTTTTAAGATAGTATCAAACTTTATTCTAACCTAGGTTGTTGGGTCTCTCATGTCACCCACTATTAGACCGCTACCAGAATATCCACAAAGTCTCATACTCAATATGTCTAGTCTTCGATGTAAGGAGGCATGTTGAATATCCAACATCATCAATAACAGATATAATTTAATAATAATATATATGTGGATACAAACTTTATCTTGCATGTTGGTTTTGGCGATATTGAGTTAAGCAAAAATCCTGTTCTTAAGAAAATAAATTTTGTGCAAAGTTCCTTTCTTTGCAATTCCACTAATCCCCAAAGAAAGAAATAATAAAATAATATGAATAAAGACAAATTGAAAACAATCACTGATATTTCAGATTCAAGACAAACAAGCATTTAATGTAATCACTGACTAAACACAGAAAAATGAACCAAAAGAATAACTCCATTACACTACATACAACAAGCCGTTGCATAAAGGCAAAATAAATACTTACAAGCTAGGTCCATTCTCGTCATGGCCAGCAATGAGGAGAGATACTCCAAATGGTCGAGACTGCCAAAGAAAAAAAGAAATGGCATGTTAGAATACATACATGATCCACTGCAACAGGAACATACTGATTTAGTATTGTGCAAAAGATAAGTGTTTGTTGGCACATGGTACTGAATCAAACTGCAACAGGAATTGCACATTTAAGTATAAATGGCAAACATTCAATAGTTGAGGCATACAAGGATTTCTGCGCATAGAAAAATTGTTTAGGTATCTAACAC